AGAAAATATTATTAGTGAAGTGGGGCACCTCCTGTAATAAATACATATAGGGACGACACTCAAAATATTTAGTTTTGATCTGAGGAAGTTGTTAACCAGACATGACTTATGTGAATTATGTTCATTTCCTTTTAAACTCTTCATTTTACCTAAAAAAAAATATATTTGTTACCTAACTCAAATATCAAGTTTCCTTTTTTTGAAAAGCTGGAGGATATATATCCAATTCCAAGCCAGTCAGCAACCTTTTAATTCCCTGTTTCCTTCTGTATTCATTCAACAACGCTCAAACTAAACCCAAAAAAAAAACAACAATAAAACCGTAAAACAAATTTTATTCATTATGTAAAAACTTTAAAAAGGCCCTTTAACAAAAAAATTATGTAAATACTTTAAAATAATTATAAAATAAAATAAATAATAGTATGTAGGTTTCAGCTTTTCTTTTCACTATAAATTCGCGTTTTCGCTTCTTTTCTCACAATTAGCTTCTTTCTCCGTTTCCTTCTCACGTCACATCGGATCTCACACAGAAACTATTTTCTCCTGAATCTCTCAAACTTTTTTTCTTTTCGTTTCTGGGTAAATGGAGAATCTCTCTCAAATCCTCCCTCGTGTCCTCGTCGTTTCTAGACGCACCGTTCGTAAAAACAAATTCGTCGATTTCGTTGGTTCTTCTCTACCCTCTGCTTTTTTTTGCTTTTCCCGTGCATGGTTCTGATTTTGTGAATTTAAAAATCAAACTTTTTTGATGTGGGTTCTCTCTATTTTCCTCTGTTAACGTTATCGGATAATAATTTCGATTTTAAATGTTTTCAGGTGAATATCATCTTGATTTGATAGTTCGTTATGGATGTGTGCCAGTGATTGTTCCACGAGTCACTGGTGTTCACATGTTGCTTGAGAGCTTTAAGCCAATCCATGGAGTTCTTCTTTGTGAAGGAGAAGATATTGATCCTTCTCTTTATGAATCTGAAATCTCCTCTCTTTCACCAGAAGAGCTTCAAGAGATTAGAGAAACGCATGCGAGTGATACAGCTATTGACAAAGAGAAAGATTCCATTGAGTTGGGACTTGCTAAACTCTGTTTAGAACAGAACATTCCTTACTTAGGAATCTGCAGAGGATCACAAGTAAAAACATATATATATATGTCTCTCTTTTGAAAGTTTTTTTCTTTTGTAGCTTTTCTCTAGGATTAAAATGTTGATTAACTTTTTTGGTTTGGCAGATTTTGAATGTTGCTTGTGGTGGGACTCTTTATCTTGATTTAGAGAAAGAGCTTACCAATAAGTTACCGGAGGAACGTAGAACGAAGCATATCGATTATGATAATTATGATGGCCATAGACATGTTGTGAGGATTGTTGAGAACAGTCCACTTCATTCTTGGTTTAAAGACTCGTTGGATGGAGAAAAGATGGAGATTTTGGTCAATAGTTACCACCATCAAGGTGTTAAGAGACTGGCACAGAGGTTTGTACCAATGGCGTTTGCTTCTGATGGATTGATGGAAGGCTTTTACGATCCTGATGCGTATAATCCTGAAGAGGGAAAGTTTATAATGGGTTTGCAGTTTCATCCAGAGAGAATGAGATCACATGATCTTGATGAGTTTGATTATCCTGGTTGTCCTGCTGCATATCAGGTTTGTGTTCTTGAACATTAGTTGTTCTCCAAAAAAAGTTGTGAAATTGAGTTTTTTCTTATGGTGTTTTGTGATTTGGATTTAGGAATTTGCAAAGGCGGTGATTGCGTATCAGAAGAAGCTGAATAGCTCAATGTCTGTTCCAAAGACATTGGAGCTTGATAGAGAAATGGAGAACAAAAGAAAGATAATTATTCGAAGTTTCTCACTTGCGAGGTATATGTATACTAGAGGAGCACCTGGCAAGAACCCATCAAAAGAATCAGAGCTCGAAGTCGGAGCCGAGTTTCTCGAGGTAAAGAACAGTAAATCTCTTTCTGCTTAAATTTACATAATCTGTTTAGAAGACTTCTTTGGCCTTTCGCAGTCCTTAAGGGTTACATAGTTAAAACGAGGTCGTTTGAAATACAGCTATGTATTTCAATATTCATTTCAGTGGGTGGTTCGATGATGTCTATGGTTGTTGTGATGGGCCAAAGAGAATCCAAACCGGACCATCCCGTTTTTACGCCCTGGACATGTTGAGCCTTCTGCCCGGTTCTGATTTGGGCTTGTAGGGCACAAAAATGCATGTGTGTACCTTTAAATAATCACATGCCACACAGGTTTTTGTCCCGACCCGTGGCATGTGACAGATTTATAGACCTAAACAGGTTCGAGACCTGTTAAAAACCGGCCTGCATGCGAGCCGATCTTCAGGCCTGGCCTGGCCCACAGACTTTTGGATATGTCCTACTTTTTCATGACATGTTTTATTACCATACTATTGTCTTTCCTTTGCTGAATTTGTTATTATTTTGTGTATGGTGTGGCTTGTTGCAGTCAAACACGGCGCTAAGTGCCGAGCAAGAGACGAGGCTGAAGGAGATGGGAGCGACGGTGAGGAACGGAGGATCATATATGAAAAAGTTGAAAGTAGATGAGGAGAAGCAGAGGATGGCAAGGAACATGATGAACAAGATGAACATTGAGCAACTTTCAGAGCTTATGGCATTTTATCATTTGATGGGAAATATTTGTGGAGAAGTTTTGGAGCGAAAGCTTCATGGTAATGTCAATGAATGCTTCAAGGATCTGTGAGTTCACATGCAATATGATGCTTTATGAACAAGCGACTTTGTGAATTTGCATTTTTTTTTTGGGTGAAAAGATGGTAAAAAGGTATTGTGTATGTGTGATCAATTTAATGGTGCCTAAATGTCCTAGGTTACATGATGATTTGCCAACAAATTTGGTTTTAGTAATTTTTTCTAAGTAGTGCTAATGCAAATACACAACAATGATTTAAAAGTTCTGTGAAAGTAGCTCATTTATTCAGAATTCTGAGATTAAGGATACACACTGAATTTTTCGGATTCGATTAAATGAAAACAGTTGAATAATATGCTTTGTTTTCTAATTTTGACAATGTCTTTTTTAAGAAAGAAAAACCTTTCCTATATTATAACATTGTTTGCAAATGCAACCAGGCATTTGTATTCCAGTAGTTTGAAAATTCTAGTGATATGGGTATGTGTCCTACCGCCTAGGTTTGATTTCGTCTGGCCACCCTTCCACGTTTAAATAAATTTTTGATACACCAGTTTTAAAAAAAACAAAAAACAAAATGTTTGCAAATGCTTTTGAAATAGTCTAAAGATCCTTACTTCACTTTTACAGGAAACAAATATCCAAATCCCTAAAAGGCTAAAACTATCATTGGAGCGAGTCACGTGACTGGCAAGAAAGTCTTATAACAACAATAAATCTACTTTTTCTACAAGAAGATCAAATCTCACTCACTCACATTCTTTATTTTTTTATTTTCTAAAATTCAAACCAAATATATCAAAACTGGCTCAAGTGTAGTGTTGATGGAACCTGGTCAAAACAAAGAAATCAAAGTGGTATAGGGTTCTTAGAACACTACCTAGAGATCAATCGATTATAGAAACTGAGGCAGAGGGCCATCCTCGTTAAAGTCGTTATGACAAGCTTCAACTATCAGGACATCATCTTTAAATCAGACTTTAAGACAAGTTGAATTAGATTTCCGTTACGAAACAATCGATTAAAAGTAGCCTCAAATTGTTGTGTCAATATTCATAGCTTCATTTTCCACAAATTCACTTCATGCTGCATTTTATGCTAAATAAAAGATTTATTAGTATGAATCTGCAAAAAGAAAATTTTCAACGTCTAATCAATAGAGACATCAATATGCCCAAATAAGAGAAGACAAGGTTCTAGCTCGCATCTAGCCAAATAATCCACCTCATGCTGCAAGGTGCGCTAGCTCTGGTAAGATTTCTTTATATAGAAATCTAATATTCTAGAATACTAATCAGGGAAAAGGCGGTGGAAATCAGGATTAGAAAGTTAGAATGTGGATTGTGGCGTGTAATAAAGAAGATAGTTTAGCTTGATTTTCTAAGGTTTTTATTAAAGACATATCCTTTTTTTTTAACTAAAGTAGGACATATCTAAACTTTAGTTTTCCTTAATTAGCTAATAATGTCTCTTCTTAAATTGAGTGGGTCAACATTAATACTTACCAAATAGATGGTGTTGGCATAGTGGTATCTGGGAGTTTCCAAAATCACTAGTTCAACTTCACTGGAGAGGAGTACTTATGCTTTAAACTTTGTATTATCGACTGATTCCGGAAGAGAAGAGATTATGGACCAAATGTCCAAAACTTTCAAGGTTTATCAAAAAAGAAAAAAACCATAAATATAATAATAATTGTTCTGTTTCATAGTATAAGTGTGCCTACTTTTTTTCTTTTTTAAATTATGTTTTGTATTTTCAATGTGAAAGAATTATTTTATTTATTTTGACAGATTTATTTTATTTTATTCATTTAGCCAATCCATCAATATTGTGTAGATTATTACCTATAGTATATGAGTATTAAATTAATTTTGCAATATTTTTCATTGGTTTGCATTCAACCAAAACATTTTTATGTAATACTAATGTTTTAGAGTTGTTTACATCTTTTGTATAAACAGTCGTTAACATGCTACTTACTACATAACACAGTAGTGACAGTACACATAAAAATAGAACCACAGTTCTTTTTTTTTATCTCTTTTCTTCCGAAATGTACTTGTCTCAAATTTTCAACTGAAATTACAAGTTAGTTCCTGTAACATTTTTTCCAATATTTCTGCGGCCGTTTTAATTATTTTTCGTGTACGTTAACAAGATCCTCCACAGTGAAAGTCTCTTTTTTTGGGAGTTAACATAAGAAAAGAAGAAAAGTCTAGTAAAGTCAACTAAACAAAGACGTGTGATTTAAATTCTCCAAGTCTTACGTATTTGTCTTTTTCATTCTTGACTAAGTCCGTTTAGACAATTCCCACTTGCTCTCCTTTTGTCTCCACTTCGATATTTATCTGGTTTACCATTTTTGTTTAATCATTTATCTACTCTACTCAGCACAAACCAATCCCAGAAAGAGAAAACTTAATTCAGACATCAATCATGTTCTCTCCAGTACTCTTCAGATCCTCAAAACCCAATTCTTGTCTAATCTTGCTCTTCTTCTTGTCCAATTTTCACCATCTTCCTTGTGCTCTAAGTCAACGAGATCTTAGGTTATGTGATCATCGGTTTCAGTGTGGGAATCTCACCGCCGGTTTCCCTTTTTGGGGAGAGTCCCGACCACAACCTTGTGGTCATCCTTCTTTGGGGCTTCACTGTGACCAATCCAAGAACAAGACCTTTTTTATAATTTCAGGTCAGATGTACAGTGTCCTCCAAATAGACAACTCAACTAACACACTTCGACTTGCGAGGCAAGACTTTTTAGGCGAATCATTCTGCAATGCTACATTCACCGGCACAACGTTGACTCCTGAACTATTTCAGCTTTCGCCAGATTACAAGACCCTCTTTGTTCACTATCTCTGCAACGAACGTCTTCACAATCCTTCGAATTTCAAATGTGCAAAGATTGGTATCGCCTCGGTACATCAGGACAATAACTATTATGAAAACTGTGGTGCGAGTTTCAACATTACTGTTCCCACAAACTATGCTCCAGAGGAGGAAGCTTTGAATATGACCCGTTTGGGAAGTGTTCTTAGAGAAGGATTCGTGGTGAAGCTGAAGTATGATGAGAGACCGTGTCAAGAATGTCAATCTAGTGGTGGAATCTGTGGCTACAATGTTTCCACTCCGATTTGCTGCAAGACAAATTCATCAGGATCAGTAATCGCCTGCAGTCAAATGATTCCATCTAAATCTAATGGTAAGTTTCTGATCTATCAGCAAGTTTCTTATACATATATCATATTAGTTCTTCCCCTGACTAAAACAGAAAATAACGGCTTGCTCATAAGTCAATTTGCAGCCTCTTAAGTTCCACTATGACATATACCGCAACCATAAATCCCTAACTTTCACAGTTGGTAAATCACCATGCATATATAACATGCTAATCACCAAAAACCACAGATCATACTTTCTGCAATCTCTCTAAGACTCTAACCAAGTCACAAATATCTTTCCTTGCAATCTTCCTTATGTTGGTTTTACCTGTGTTAAGACATACCTTACTTCCTAGTGAGCTTAAGAGAGAAGATAGAAACTTGAGTGGTCTAGAACTCTAGAAGTCTTTATCTGATTCCAGCAACTTGGGACACAAATTTCCATCAAGTCATTTTCATGGTATAAGAGTCTTCCTTACCATGAATCTGACTCCTTTCTTTATCACAACTCCTTCATCGACTCTTCTTCTTGTTCAATTTCCATGATAAATACTAAAGAGTCTATATCTTGTTCCACTCTTCATTCTTTGAAATTGTCTGAAACTGACAAAGAAAGTGGAGAGTAAAGGAAGGGCCAATTACGGTCAAGTCTTTCTTTCTTTCTTTCTTTTGAAGCCCTTTTGCTGATTTTTATTCATAAGTCTATTTTTTGCCCCATTTCTACTTTGCCTGACTTTTCCAAGTAAAGTTTGTGCACCTAAGTCGTCCCACAAAAACAAAAGAAATTAATATTAACAAAAATTAATATTTTATTACAACCAAGCAAAAAAAATCTTCTAAACTAATTTAATATCCTGGTTGTCTACCAGTCTACTCGAAGACTAAGTCATCCTAACCCACCTAATTCCAAAGAAATTTCTGTTTGGAAATAAATTTCCAGATAAACAAATATATAAAGAGAAACCTTAATTTTCTTTTCATTCTTTCAACTCATACAAAACCATGACTTAGACAAATACCATTTACTTATTCCCCATCTGTCTTTTACCTCTTTTTCTTCTTCTTCTTCGTCCTCTTGTTCATCTCTAAGGCAAGCACCATGATCAACCTTTCTCTGTCTCTGACAGAATCTTTGTCCTATATAATCATATGGATGCTCTTTGTAATCCCCTCTTCTGTTTTCTCAGTTGATGAGCGTCACATACACTGCGCTTTTCCGTTTACCTGCGGAAATGAGATACATCTCTCTTATCCCTTTTGGACATCTGACAGAGAAGAGTGCGGTCACCCAGATTTCAAGGTCAACTGCAGCAACGGTTTTGCAGAGCTTACCATCTCCTCGGTTAAGTTCAGAATCCTCCAGATGAACTATGATGATAACATCATAACACTCGCAAGAATGGATTATCTCAACAATCTTTGTCCCCAAGACCCTGAGAGCCCAACGATCAACCACGATGTCCTTCCATTTTCTAACGACACTGTGCTGTCAAATTTTTATTACAAATGCCCTTATCGAAGAGTAGATTTTAAGCCCAACGATTACATTAGACGGCTTAACTGTGAGGATGATAATGCTGGGGAAAGTTACTTTGTCCCGTTCCCTTCACACTCTTGGGATACATCTATCTTCAACGAGTTGAGCGCACTGTGTGAAAGAAATATCAGTATACCAGTCTCTGGATCTGCCTTGAAGATATTAGAGAGAAATCAGAGTCTGGAGGCTGTAAAGAAGGCTCTTGATAAGGGTTTCGGGCTTAAATTCAACACTGATTGCGTAGAATGCGGAAGATCAGAGGGTGCTTGTGGATATAGTCAGAGATCAAAAGAATTCGTCTGCTATTGTAAAAATGGGCCTCATAAGCATACTTGTCGAAAGAAGGGTAATGATTTCTTCTGCTCTGTTTCTCTGAGTATCTCGACGGATCTATGTTAATCTGAATCTTAGTTTGATCTTCTTCCTTCCTCAAACACTCCAGACTGCCCCACCTACCGACCTGACTTTTTCTCTGGAACTAATTCAGCTAACATGAATTTGATTTACATTCCTTTTCTGATGAACAAAATATAGAAACTCTCTTGACTTTCGACATTTGCTTCAATCACAGTTCTAAGTTCTGTCTTGAGTTTGAACTGACATTTTTCTTGTGGTACTTGTTCATGCAGAACTCTCCAAAAAAGCAAAATTAGGTAAGGGTCTATCGAACATTTCAATAGAACGTACCTCAGAAACAGCATAATCTTACGAAGCTCTTGTCTTTTTGTTAATCTTTAGGCATCGGATTCGCTTGTGGATTCGCGGGTGCCACTCTTTTAGTAGGAGGATTGTTCTGTTTCATCAACCGGAGAAGGAAGAAACAAGCAGCTCAATACACAAGCAAAGGCCTATCAACATCAACGCCTTACTCAAGTAATTATACAATGACAACCACTCCAACTTCCACAACAATCTCCGGAAGCAACCACTCCCTTCGGCCATCGATCTCTAACCTTGCAAACGGAAGCGACTACTTTGGTGTTCAAGTCTTCAGCTACGAAGAGCTAGAGGAAGCCACTGAGAATTTCTCTAGAGAGCTTGGAGATGGAGGCTTCGGTACTGTCTACTACGGTAAGAAACCAAAAAACTCCACTAATTACCCAAATAAGCTCAGCTTTTAACAAGCCAAATGCAAATGATTCTGAAGGCATACTAAAAGACGGACGAGCAGTAGCTGTGAAACGACTCTTCGAGAGGTCACTGAAACGCGTGGAGCAATTCAAGAACGAGATCGAGATCTTGAAGTCGTTAAAACACCCGAACCTGGTGATTCTATACGGATGCACAACGAGACATAGCAGAGAGCTGCTCCTAGTCTACGAGTACATCTCTAATGGCACACTCGCTGATCATCTCCATGGAGACCAAGCAGAGTCTCGACCTATTTGCTGGCCTGCAAGACTCAACATCGCCATTCAAACCGCTAGTGCATTGTCTTTCCTCCATGCCAAAGGTAACAACACAAATTTCACAAACACACACAAAGAGATTCCTGAAGATTGAAATGATTTGTGATGAATTTTAGGGATCATACACAGAGATGTTAAGACTACGAACATTCTTCTAGATAGCAATTACCAAGTGAAAGTGGCTGATTTCGGTCTCTCGCGGTTGTTTCCGATGGACCAAACTCATATCTCCACCGCGCCGCAAGGAACTCCGGGATATGTTGACCCTGAGTATTACCAATGTTACCGTCTCAACGAGAAGAGCGACGTTTACAGCTTCGGAGTCGTACTCTCCGAGCTAATCTCGTCCAAAGAAGCCGTAGATATCACCAGGCACCGCCACGATATCAACCTCGCGAACATGGCGATCTCGAGAATCCAGAACGACGCCGTTCACGAGCTCGCGGATCTGTCGCTCGGATTCGCGAGGGATCCTTCCGTGAAGAGGATGATGATGTCGGTTGCTGAATTGGCGTTCCGGTGTTTGCAGCAGGAGAGGGAGGTCAGGCCGTCGATGGACGAGATCGTCGAGGTTTTGAAAGGGATTCAGAAGGAAGAGATACGAGATTTATCGGAGGTGGTGGAGATTGATGTGAGCGGCGGAGATGATGTTAGATTGCTAAATCACGGCGTTCCTCCGCCGTTATCGCCGGTGACTGAGAAAGAGACGAGTAGTTCGAATACGACGGCGAGTTCGTTCTAACTTCTGAGAGTGAAGTAGGAGAGACTCTGCACCTAAACGAAGGTTCGGTGTCAGTATATAAAAACCATTGTGAATTTCACCTTTTGACTCTTTCTTAATTTGTTTACGTTGTTTTTTTTTTCTCCCTCGTAATGTTTGCGTTTTGCATAAATGGACAATTACTATTACTAAATTATTATGTGGCACGCCTAATATGTAATTAGCAGTGTTTTTAAAACCGGACCGGACCGGCGATCCAACCGGATTGAACCGTGAAACGGGAGTAAATCCGGGTTGGTTTGGTAATAAAATCTATAGATAGTTAAACCGGTAAAAAACCAGATTGAACCATAAAAAAACCGGAAACCGGCAAACCGTCGAAGCATAACAAACCCGGTTCAATTGTAAAAAACTTAAAACATGCGATTGTCTTTTTTAACAATGGAACTTTTGAGTTTTGTTTTGGTGTTTGTAACAGTTATGTTATTTTTTTGTGTTGGTTTTCTCTGATCCAGTTTGATATGCTTACTACTGATATATAACAATACTGTGAAGAATAACAAAAAAGAAAATACAGATGCAAGGAAGAAAAAAAAATTAAAAAATTGTTTAGAGAAACTTAAATTTTGAGAAAAGAAAAAGAAACTAGAAGGATGAGAATGAGCTATAAGATGAGAGCGGCGGTTTTTTGAGAAAAAAAAGTAGAAGATGTAGGGTTTTATTATGAATGGTTTTTTTATTTGGCAAATGAATTTATTTTTTATAATTTACTTTTATTGTAAAGTATGCAATAAACAAAAACGTAAAGTTAGCAACAATATTGAAAGTTAATATAAAATATAAATGATATAATGAACCAGGTTTGACCCGGTCGGACCGAATTGACCCATGATCTAGAAGTCTTTCCGGTTCGTCTTCCGGTCCGGATTTAAAAACATTGGTAATTAGGGAAATTTTCTCTATGGCTCTGCAAAGCACCTTTGTTATGGCCGTATATCCGTATATGTATATGACTCTTTTATAGGTTAAAGAGTTTCTTTTAGATTTAATTTTGCAAAAAATACTAACAAATTAAATCACATGATTACTTATAATTAAATTATTTTCAGTGATATAAACATCAAATTGAGAATCAGATGTTAAAAAACAAAAACATCAAATTGAGACAGAATATAAAAATTATCATCTTATTAATAAAGAAATAATACATCATTAATGAAAGAAAGATATGTGGATTAAATCTCTATCGATACAACAATCATATTTTGTTATAATTGTTTTGGTTCTTTAGAATCTTTGTTCTCACAAAAGGTGGAGACTGATTACAGTTTTTGTGACAATCAGAACACTCTCCTGCTGATGATGAGCTTTGGCAATGGGGACGGCAAATCACACTGCATTCCACCTCTGATTTTGCTTCACCTCCGGTCACAATCATTGTTATTATCATCATCATTATCAACATCATGCTCAACTTTTTAGCCATTTTTCTTGTATTTGATTCTTCTTTCTTTCTTTTATGTATATGAATGAATGAGTGATGATGTGAAATTACGTCTTTATTTATAAGTTTTTAAAAGTAATGACTATGTCATTTCCAATTGATATAATTTATAATTTATTTTCATTTTTTGGACTCATAAATCTAAAGGTATGATATCTAGGTAAATTATTTTCTATATTGTAATACTTTTTCATTAAAATATTTTATTAGAATTATATATGTATATATTTTCTACCTATTCTATCATGGAAATAAAACTACTATAGAAAAGTTTATGATTTTATTAGATTTGATAACAAATAGTATAGATACATTTTACTATTAGGGCTGGAATTATTATCCGGTATCCAAGATCCGATCCGGATGCCGCTCCGAAAAACCGGATATCTGAAGGGATTGGATCCAGATTTGGATAATTAAATCCCATATCCATCAAAACCGGATCCGAATCTGGATAGTTAAATTATAATATTCAGATATCCATATCTGAATCCCTAACCTCTAAATATATTTAAATTATATTTTATTGATAATTTTATAATATAATTGAGATTTTTATATATAAAATAATTAAAAATAAATTAAAATATTTTTTCTTAATAAAAAGGTTTATTCTTTTACAAAATATTAAATAACAAATAAAATTTATCATTATTTTAATATATTTTGGATTTGGATTCGGATCCGGATATCCGCTCCGTCCAGAGATATTTATTATAGCATTCACTTAAAAAAAACTTCGAATTAATTAATTTAAATATCATTTTAGGTTCAATTTAAATTAAATTTTTTCATGATTTAAATTAATTTTTTCATGATTTAAATTAATCTTCTGCAAATTTACTCCAAAATCTCATTTTAATTTTCTGACTAGATACACAATGTCTAGGATGAAGAAATTTAGGCGAATTAATGTGATATTTTCTTTAGGAGGAATGATTTATAGTTGCACCCTTTGGCAAACTTCCTTAGCAAATTGCTAATCAATAATAACATGATATATTAAAATGGAGGAAAAGTTATACCTGTATAAGAAGACATCAGAAATTTGTCATTTAAAATATAAAAATTACAACATGTAATAATATTACAATGTTATAAAATGTTAATGATAAAATTTATATAACTAGATTTGAAAAAATACACATAAATATAAATAATGTCAACGTTAATAAAAACAATAATTGATGTGAAAATAGTGTTGAAATATGACACCTATCATATATAAAGATTAAAAAAAAAAATTGAAGGTTTTTTTGAAAGTGAATGCTATAGTAAGAAGATGTATCTATATTATTTGTTATCAAATCTAATAAAATCTTAAACTTTTCTATAGTAATTTCATTTCCATGATAAAATAGGTAGAAAATATATACATATCGAAAAATTATTACAATAATAGATAATAATTTACCTAGATATCATACCTTTTGATTTATGTGTCCAAAAATGAAAATAAATTACAAATTATATCAATTGGAAATGACGTAGTCATCACTGTTTCAAACTTATAAATAGAGACTTAAGTTCATATCATCACTCATTCATTCATATATACATAAAAGAAAGAAAGAAGAATCACCTACAAGAAAGATGGCTAAAAAGTTGAGCATGATGTTGATAATGATGATGATAATAACGATGATTGTGATCGGAGGTGAAGCAAAATCAGAGGTGGAATGCAGTGTGATTTGCAGTCCCCATTGCCAAAGCTCATCATCAGCAGGAGAGTGTTCTGATTGTCACAAAAACTGTAATCAATCTCCACCTTCTGTGAGAACAAAGATTCTAAAGAACCGAAACACTTATAAAAAAATATGATCTACTTAACTATTTTAAAATTAATATGATTGTTGTATTGATGGAGATCTAATCCACATATCTTGTTTTCATTAATTATGTATTACTTCTTTATTAATAAGATGTTATACTCTGTTTCAATTTAATGTTTATATTGTTGAAAACTTTAAAGCACTCATGGAAAATAAATTGTTAAATCAGTATCTACTTTATATAAAAGGGATTCATTTGCTGACTTCTCAGACTGTCCACGTCGACAGAAATAATTTAAAAATAATTGGCCAATAAAAACATTAAAACATGCCACATCACTGAAAAACTCAATTATCATCATCCTTATTGCAACGCAGAAAGTCGAATAGATACAAGCCCATTAAATACAGGCCCAAAAAAATTAAGCCATCAGCCCAATAAAGAATCTCCACCCCAATCTTCTCTATCGTTGGCGAGAGCTAAACTTTCCAGAAAACACCAGAAATCTGAATCGATACCTTCATATAATTTCCTTCGCCTGCTATGTCTCCTTCGTCTCCACCTACTAGCTATGAGCCCCTCTAACGATTGCTTTTTCTCTCATCTCAAATACATTGGAAAAACATAAAATTCAATCGACAAAAAAAAGTTGACGTTACAAACCAGCCTTAAACTAAAACCAGCCATTAATAAGGATAAACATTAAATAAGAATTTCTGCAAAATAAGGATTTCACAGATGAAGTGTCTGTTAAGCTTATTTTAATTCTCCAAAATCCAAACTGACGCTCCCTCTTCCTACTTTTATTTCTCCGTATCTCTCTCCCTGGTTCTTCTTAATCAAATACGCTCTAGCTGTGGACTTTGTGCTGATTTGTTGTTGAAGAATTATTGATTTGGAGTTGGAAGTGTCGGTTCTCATCTCCATTCTTCAATTGCGAAGGGGACAGATTTGTGATAACATTTTTCTATATTGAAAGTCAAAGCAAGAGAAAATAAGTTTTATGATCGATTGTTTTGACTTACATATTAAGATCAAATGCGCCTATTATCTCTTCAACATCAAACTTTCTTTAATCTGTTCATATCAGTTCTTTTGGTGATTAGATTTGTTTCTGCTTTACTTAATGTTCCTAGTTCATAAGCTATCTTAATCTCTACATTAACTTGGCCCATAGTGGAAAGAATAAACACTAAAATCGATGGCGAAACTTATCTTGCAGAACTTCCACGGCCGACACCACATCCCCGGAAGCTACAATGGTACGTCCCCCTTTCAATATCTCTCAGTCTCCGTTTCTGATTGTCTCTCCTGTTAAATTTTTCCCTTTTTTGAGTTTCATTTTAACCTTTCAGTCGTATAGATTCTATCTTTCAAATCACAAATCTATATTTCTAGATCATTGAGTGAATTCTTGGATTTCTGGTTTTGGATTGAGTTATTTTCTTTGTCACAACTGACTCTCCGGTTAACCATCCTTTTTAAGTACTTCGATGTTGAATTTTGCTTCCAGTGTTGATTCTGAGAGTATTGATCTGATTGCTGGAGGTAAAAGCAAGAAGATCAAAAAGACAGCTACAACGTACGATGATGTCTACCTAAAGCTTACTATGAAGACCAAAATTTTAACAACGATATATGGCCTTTACTTTTTGTCCTTCCATCAAAGAGGTTTTTATTAGGGTGAATCGCACTGGATGTGAGAATTGAGATTTGAAACATTGTTTAGAAATTTCGCAGTTGTACTGGTTGATGGTAAGGAGAAAACAGAGCAAGTCCAATGCAGTGATATTGAAGAGGCTTTTCATGAGCAAATTCAACAAAGCTTCACCTCTATCTAGGCTCGTGGAATTCATGACGGGCAAGAAAAAAAAATTAGCAAGAGAATAGAACAAGGAGTTTCGGGAAAGAGGTCTCCTGGTTTATGAAGAGCAAGCATGAACAAGTTGAGGTACATATATATATGTAATATATTTGGTTCCATTCTATATATAAAAAAAATTTGGTTCCATTTGGTTCCAGTCTCAAATGCTCTCGCACAAATCCAAAGACACATGTTCCTCAGATTTGTATACAGCTTTACAATTATATTATATATTTAGTATATAATATTGAACGAAAAGCATCAGGCCAATATGTTCTTCCACCTTACGATTGCTCTTAAATCTACTTGATGCAGTTGACCCGATCATATCTACCATTAAGTTTGCCAACCATTACCTTTTCATTGCATGTATGTGAAGACTTTGCATTTTGAAATGATTCTTCTTCCTCCCATCCTTCTGCATTTTTACCCATGGGATCATGATTAGTTCTGGGATACTGATTCTGACTGCATTTTAACCGCCGAGTTCTATACAAGGTAAATTAATGAAATCACCACTTCAGCTATTGTATGTAATGTATATCTCTTTGTTGTTTGTTCGAGTAGTATCTAAAACAATGGTTAGATGATTGATGAATTCTAAAACAGTACATCAAGAACGTGCAATCGGCTTCAGCTCGATGCATGACTGATTAATTAACAAGCTATCCCAAGAAACGTTTCTGAATGAGCAGCAGAAAAAGCAGTGTGCTCATGAGGGGAATCGCACGGCTTTTATTTTTTTCTTTAGTATCATTGTTAGGTTTTGGATCATTTTACTATCTTACGTTCTTGACTGATCATTTGCTATTTGCAGGGTTTAGATAAGATCTTCCAAGAAAATGATCATTGGTCTTCGAAGTTCCTCAAATGATATGCATTGTTTAAATATGAACTCACTATCTATGTGTTTTTCTATATACTCAAAATACAAATTATAACCTAAACTTAATTACACAGAAATCTCTGAAAACCCGGGCGTAGCCCGGGGCAATCCCTAGTTGTTTTAATAATCTTACGATAACTAGGCATTTTCCCGGGCTACGCCCGAGTTTTTTCCATATTTTTTTTGATATTAATTGTAGAATAGATTTTTTTATATTTAATATATGGATCAGACTTATTTTCTAAATTTATTTCTGGTGATAATGTTAATTTTCCCCCATGTTTTACTTTATGTTTTGTTTATTTTTTCTTTCTTCTAATACCAAAATAGTCATTTAATTGATATGATTTATTGTAGATTCATTATTTTATTTTTCTGTTGTTAACCTTGTGTAGTAACTTTTTTTAGTTATTATATTTTTTCTTTGTATATGTGTTCGACCTATTTGAACATCCTTTGTTTGTATTTATTTTAGATTGGAAATAAATATAATATATATATATATATATTTTTTTTTTCATTATTTTTTAATATTAATTGTAGAATGTATATTGTATATTAAGTATATAGATCAGACTTTAAAAAAAAAATTATATCAGGTTAAAAAGTTTCTTTTTCCCCCATGTTTTACTTTATGTTTTTTTCTTGTTTTTCTTTTTTCTAATATCAAGATAGTCATTTAATTGATATCAAAATATGTTATATTTATTATTTTATTTTTCTGTTGTTAGCCTTGTGTAGTAACTTTGTTTAGTTATTATATTTTTCTTTTGTGTATATGTGTTTACCCTATTTGAATATTTCTTGCTTGTAATTATATTAGATTGTAAATAAATACAATATATATATTTTTTCTTATTTTCAATTACCTTATTGAAATCTTTTATTCATTTTTTAACCCATTATTTGTTAAAAACATAACATATTTGGTTTAGGCAACAGACTCTGTCTAATTTTTTAAGGGATATGTCAAGAAATGATGTCAATACAATTGTTGTGTGTTGTCTTCATCATCTTATACTACGTGTGTGGCCTAATGCTTTAATCCTCCCATCTTTCCATTTTTCACTGATGGTTTACTGTTTCTTTGAAGAAAAATCTTGATGCGGTAGTTGAATGGAGCTGCAATTTTCCTGCAGTAATGGATTAATTAGTTTTTATCTTTTTTAGTTTTTTATTTATTTATCTGTTTCATTGTTTGCGTACCTTTGTATATTTTGGGATTCATGCTTGTGATCAACATTGTTGAGTATTTTCTCTCTCTAATACACATGAGTTGTTGGAAAATTGCTGCCTGTTCATCCCATATTATTAGTTTGATCATAGTGTCCCTGCATGGATTTGTTTAGTTTATGTCTCTAATTATATAAATATTTGTAAGTCTTGTTTTCTTTGTTCTACCTGTTTATGAGCAGCCCTACTGTTATTTTTATTTTTGAGTCTGGGTTTTTGCAATTTATACCTTGTATGATGCGTATCATCCCAATCGCATCTTCAATAATTTGTCTGTTAGTTTGAGTATTTATATTGTGTTATTGTTTAATTTTATAATGTAATATAGTAGACATACCTGGTAGTTCTGAATTTTTTCCTCCTATACGTAGTAATTGACTGTAGTCTTTTACCCAGAACTTCTTTGTAGGTATTTTTGGATAGTTCTCCTTTAGTGCTACAATCCTTGTTTTGCTTGTAATTCGAGTTACATACTGATGTGGCATGTGTTTGAACTTCTTGTTATTTGCTTGAACTATGAAATCTGATATTTCACATACTTGTCCCTCTTTCAGATTTTTTATGTTGCTCTGCTAATGAATAGTGCATAGTTGCCTCGATCATTTCTCCCTGTTGTGAACATAGTTTATTTAGTTAAGAAATTTTAACTTATTAGATTTAATAGCAACATGTGTATACCTTTGCGTCTAAGAAGAGGAGAACCATTTGTATTTTTTCGTCTTTGTTTGTATGGTTGTGTGTTTCCCACATGCGATTGATACGAACAATGATTGTCACGTTTGTAGTGTGTAATTCTAATTTTGTTAAATCAGAGTGTTGTGTCACTTTTCCTGCAAAGATATGTGAGCACTTTTTGTATCAATATAATATGTTTTTTTCTTCTTTTATTTTGATATCTATAAGAAGTTTTGTAAGTGTACCTCCAGTTTTCTGGTTGTGGTTATGATAATCTGGTTTTGGCATGACTTTCGATTCTCTCCTTTCTGTGGTTAACTCTTAGCAGCATGTTAGTTTGCGAGAACATATCATTAGTTTTATTTGGTGGGAAACTTACTAAGCAGAGAT